TATAATATAATGCACTTAAAAGTACAATAGTTGAGTAAGTAAATGCACAACGCCAGCAGGTACGATAAAATGTGGCCAAGTGATGCACGTCACACATGGATTCTACTGGAAAAGGGGTGCTGTCATCCACTGAATAAATATTTAAAGGCAAAGCCAGGCTTAAGTGCACCAGAATCTCAGCTGAGCATTGGGGTAACATGACTAAACAACTACAACAGACAAGATCAAATGTCCCCCAAGCTGTCAAACCCTTCTACAATCTCATCTATGGCCAGGTGGAGCCACCCACAAACAAAAAGAAATAGATTCTGGATCAGAAATACAGGCGTATGTCAGATATCTAATTGGGTAACACATGCTACAAGTATTACACTTACATCAGTTCTAATTACTGCCAATACTTTCACAACTCAGTGGTGCTGGTGACAGCCATGGTGTCTGCTAAATGATGTCTACTAAAGCCAACTTCACCACATTGAGTTAACAAAACCACACAAGTCCTTGATACCTGCAGCCGCAAGCCAAAAGGTAACACAGAGAGTTACGGTTGACACGCATGGACAGGTTTTGGAGATACTGTCGTGCTGTAAATGATCTAGAGAGCCTTCCATCTACTTTGTGTGATGCTAAACACTGTTCTGAAGTCAGTTGAGAGACAAACATCATGAAAGCAGATATGTTTGAGCCTCCAGATCTGTCCTTACCTCCTTCTGTGAGCAGATGCCTGATGAAAGACTCTGGCGACTTCACTCAAGCAATTGATCACATCAACAGACCTCACATCAAATGAGGTATGAAGTTAGCCTAATGCCCACCCTGAACTAGATACTCGGTCATTACAAAGTGAAGAAGGGACCACCCTGTAGAAAAAAAAATACAAAAAAGAGGTCAGGTACATGGTGGGTACAACCTATACAAACTGCTGGCATAGAATGTGTCACGAATCATGCACAAATTGAGTTTTACTGCTTAAAACACTACAATGATGATGGCAGTTCGAATGAATGTGTGTCATTAACACAATTAAGTTCAAAAGATTGCTATGAAGTCTACTGCTTTGTGCCTACTGCTCAAACTGATTTACTATTGACAAAAAAAAACTTTTTAAACTTCCACTAGTCAATTACAAGGTATTCTGTCTGTCACATGATGCAATCAGCACAGAGAGGTTAAAACTTTTGCTCGTCTTTGATGTGAAAGAACACTAACAAGCTAACAGATAGACCAAAAAAAAAGGTACTTTCTCAGACTAAAATAAAACTAAAATCATTGAATCAATAATTATATTTATACATAATTATATTTATTTTATTTTACATTGTTAAAAATAATGACAACTAAAATCATAAAATCTATTTAATATATCTATGAGAAGAAGGCATCAAGTACATGCATAGACAGTTCTTTGTTGTGCTGAAAGATTGTGACTTGCTTGTTCATCTCATCTCTCATATGTTAAGATGCTTTTGTTAGTGTAGCCTTTCCACAGACTGTCAGAGGCACCCCGCTAATACTCTAATATAGCATGCAAAAAAAACATAAAAGGCAGATCAAACCTGTCTAGAACTAGCTGGACTCTTGCCAAAATGTTTCCCCGCCCCAAAAAAACACAATGCTTTGCAAGCAACGAGTGACATTTTGTATAAAAGCCACATAACATGAAAGCCCCCTCTTAACTTCAAAATGTCCAGTATCAAAACACTTTAACATGTAAAAGGGCTGTTTAAAACTAATAAAAAAAAGGTCTCACATAGGAAAACACATCCTTCACGGAGAAAACCCTTTTACAGGGTTGTATTTTTCTCTAAATTCTGTCCAAAGATCTTTCCTTTCTTCAAAACACCCAACCAAAACAGAAATTTATAAAGTAATAATTTCAAAATGACCTCTGTCAAAGTTCAAAGGTCTCCATCTGTGTGTGAATTACAGTGACACAAAAGAGTGATGATCCTATAACGGCTTCCCTGTGACTACCTGCTGCTCGAAAAACACTGGCCAGACATTCGAACGTACTGAAAAGATCAAATGGGGCCAGCAAATACTCCTGATCTCAGATAAAATGGAAGGCCGGGAGGTGGAGTTCTTTCTTGAGGACATTTCAGACCAGATGCCGCCATCGGAGGCATCGAAGAAGAGAAATATGAGTCAGGCCACTGCAGGAGAGAAAGGGCAAAAAATGTTGACTTTAACTAAATACAGTGAAGTACATTACTCTGTTACTCTGATGGCTGATGATAATATTTCATATTTAAAATTGAAACTGATCTCAGCCTGCTCTCTTGAGAAAACCAGGCCCATTTGCTGACTATTATGGATCTATTCACCTAACATCTCCACTTTCACTCTTAGAAGATAATGCAAACTCTTTAAAAATAGTTCAGCAAAAAAAAAAATCAAATTCCTTCATCATTCACTCATGACTTTCTTCTGTGGTACAAAGATATTTTTGATGTTCCACAAAAGACAAAAAAAATCATACAGGTCTGAACAACATGAGGGTGAGTAAATAACAGAATTTTCATTTTTGAGTGAACTACACCTTTAAGCTACATTCCTATATTCACTCACTGTAAATTACTGATACAAATGTGCACTCACTGTGGCATCAGGATACGCTCAGATTATCTCGGTTTATATTACACTCTGCTATAGCACACACACACAGCAGCTGATCATCTGTGGTAAAGAGCTGACGGGGGCGTGAAATGTCCAGAATAGATCCTTCCTCCTTTCATTCATCCATTATCGCATGGACAAGAAGAGAAGGACAAAGAGGTATGGAGAAAGATGAGGTGAGGAGCTCGTGATTCAGATGTATGGTATAAGAGTGCAGAATGATGTAGAACGGCCAGAGGGGCTGCTGGTAGAACATGACATGATCTTAACCATAGAGATAATCTTAACTGTAGATTAGAAATATATAGTATTACACAGTGAGACAGCACTGGTTGCAAAAAGCTTTTAAACTCAGAAGCTTGCAAAAATAAAAAGATTAAGCATTACAACTATTACCATATTGTGTAACTGAATTGATCTGGAGGAAACACTCAAACAGAACAATTTTATGTCCAGTTAAGTCTCTTCATATCAAGATAGATCAGTGTCAATAAGAAGCTTTCTTGACCCAATATGTAAATGCAATGGCCACATTTACATCACACACTTACAGCAAGATGCATGGACATTAAAGACACAATGAAACTAAAGTAGTATCAGATCTTTCTTTCATATTGTGACGTACATCAGAGTACTGATTTATAATAATAATAATTTATGCATTTAGCAGACGCTTTTATCCAAAGCGACTTACAGTGCATTCAGGTTATACATCTTTTACCAGTATGTGTGTTCCCTGGGAATTGAACCCACAACCTTTTGCGCTGCTAACGCAATGCTACCACTGAGCCACAGGAACTCTATTAAATTATTATTAATTATTAAATTAATTAATTAATTATTATTAATTATTATTATTAAATTAATTAATTAATTACATATGTGTTCCTTTTAAAAAGGTACTGCCCCAGTGACAGCTGTTGTACTTTTTTTCTGAGAGTGTACAAGTGCTGATGGTCCTAGTTCGCTTTCCAGAGGAATCATGAAAAATGATTGTGCAGGTTGACTAGAGTCCTTAGAGAGAAAAAAGGGACAATCGAAAAAAAAAAAAAATTATAGGATAGGGACTTGATTCTATCCATCGGTTTTTGATTAGGAGAAGGCAGATTTGAAAGTGAGTTTATGGTGATTTGTAAGAATGGGACGGTGATTAAGTGGATTTAATGATTGGAGAATTGCAGTATATTTCACCAGAGAGAAGTCCTTGTCATTTCACTGGAAGGTAAGTTACAAGTTACAAAAAATATGAAAAGTCAACATATGCATGCATAGATGAATTGTTCACAATAAGACCAATAAGATGGATTTAGAATTTCCACTGGAATTTCATTTGGAATTTCCATTTCAAGCCAACTTCATTGCAGATTCTATAGACCTTATGCATCAGAGAAACAAGCCATCTTTTGAATTTTGACTGTGAACAATTTTTGCACTAAAGAGTAATTAGCTGGTGAAGTGGATTTACTTATTGTAGTTAACAAAAGTACTAAAGTGCATTTTATTGTTAAAGCGGAGGTCATAAACGCCAGTAGGCACAAACACACCAAATCCACACATGCCTCAATCAAAAAAAAAAAAGCAATTTCCGTAATATTTTTTAATTGTATAAATGCAAGTATTTGGGGTTTATATAAAGCAATAGGCTATTTTATGATAATAACCAAATCTTTTTCCAAAAAAAGCGATAACCACGTATGCAGTTCTTCACTGACCCAACAACTTCATCAAGCATGAATTCCAAATTTAGAAGCCTGTTACCTTTGTTGTGTTCCTGTGTAAATCTCAGAGCTGGAGGAGACACCTGGCTCAATGCTTTCCTCTCCCCCTGACACTGCAGCTATCTCACTGTAAGCATCATTAATGCAAGCCTGTGTCCCACCTGCTGGAGGTGTGAGATTGACCTCTCCCCTTGGCCGGCAGTACTGCTGACACAGGCACCTGCCATGGTGCCCTGCCCCACACTGCAGTTCCCTGCGCTGGGCCGAACTTACTCCAATCTGCCCTGGCCGGCCCGGAAGTCAGATCCCACAGTACTTCATTATCTTAGCAGTTAAAGGACAACGTCTCCGCTCATCTGCTCTGTTTACTGACTGCCATTAGAGAGAAATGAGTCATTTCAGATGACCGGAAATGGATCCCAATGATTAGGGTTGAACGCTGAATGCAACCAGTAAATTATTTAAAAGTATGTGAGAGAAATGACACAACATAATAATAATACTTAAAATGAATGGATATGGAAAATGTCACCATTATCACATAGCTGTGAGGGCAACTGATAGCAATTGACAAGAATGATAAAAGCGCTTGTGAAAACCATATAATTTGGCTAAGACGTGGATTATTTTCTCTGTAGCTTTTTACTCTATGAACTTTTATATTCTGCTAAGTGGTGCTAAACTCTCCTGTTTTCTTGCTTTTTAAAAACCCAACAGTAAGAGAGATCATTTTCATTCAGGCTAATGAATGCAAGTCATTTAAATTTGTTGTTCATTGGATAAATAATTTTCAATTTGTTAGTTACAACCTGTTCTAGTCATTTCATCCTTATTTCCACCAGACCTTCACACCAGGAATTTGGACCACAAACTGACAGTGATATAATTGTTTTGTGCCAAAGACACTAAGCATCCGAGACTCCATATATGGTGCCAGGTATCTCATCTTTGACTTGAATCTATCAGTACTAAGAATTCCTCCACAGCTCATTTTCTTTCAGTTATGCTTCAGTTTTATTTTAACGTGACACAAAAATATAATTTTATTAGAGCTGATTTCAATCATAGCACCATATATTTGGAGGCCTAACCATGTCTGAATGTGATTGCATGCCTTGTTAAAAAAAGAACTATGTTACTTCAGCAGTCAAATCTCAGGCTTACCATGGTTAAGAAAATCCCTGGAGGGTTTTTTACACTCCTCACACAAGATTGTGTTTAAAATTGTGAACGTTATATGTTCAAATACTACAAGTTTTCCATGAATTCAAAATGAACAGCTCAGCCACATTATCTCTGGGATCCAACAACAACCCTTCAGACTAACCAATGTACAACCAGGCCTACTTCTGTACAACAAGGAACCAACACTAGATATACTTCATATGCACAACTCTTCTTAGTAAGAAGTAGTTAGTAAACAAACAATCTACAACTTCATCATATGATTAAGGCAGGAAAAGGAAAATGATGAAACCATAATTACTAAGAAAGTTCACAAATTA